AAATACTACATAATTTATTTTACGCAAGCAGTCTACACATACACATGTATGTGAGGTACAACGCGGGATACATGCGTACGAGGAATAGGCGGGGATCTGTTTGCATTTGAAACCCATCCCAGAAACACAGATCCAGAGGCCCTCACTACACTACATTACATCTTGAAGAACAGATGAATAAAAATTAAATTATAGTGAATTATTTTTTCTATCGGATTATTTCATATTGTGTGAACAATGAGAGAACATTTTCAGTTTGTAACTTTTAAAAGTTTACACGTAAAACAATGATTGTAAATGATAAATATTAGTGAATTTATAACCGTAGTGTTGAACACAAATTAAATACACGTTCTCTTATTTGTTCATTATCCTGCTAATTCTGAAAGATTAAGTCATAAATTTCCACCGTTAATTCGTTTTTTCTTTCGTTCAACCATTCCTTCTTTAATTTATTTACTTATCGTTCATTTGTTCGTCGTTCACTCGTTCATCTTGTTCTGCTGTCGTTCGATGTCCCGTTAAGTCGTTTCTTCGTGCACCTTCGTTAGCTCGGCTGATCATTAATTTATTTCATACCTTACGCAAACACAGAACCAGCACCGCAGAAATTTTTGTTATTATTACTATTTTTATTATTAATAGTGGTAGTATTACTGGGGGGCAGCTATAAATTAGAGCAACTAAATTGGCAGAACATTGTAAAGTTGAAAACAACTAGTTCGAGATTTATAGCAACTGCATTAACCCAGAAAATGATGATGATTAATAATAATTCAATGAAAAAATTATCCTATCAATAAAAAGAACCGAGCCAAAATAAGAGAAATAACTTTGTTTGACAAAAAGAAGCAAATAATCTTTTAACAACATCACAATAACAAGTCTGCCATTTTTATTATCTCTGTTATAATCATTCTAATCGATGTTATTGTTCGTAGTGTTGTTGTTTTGATTCTAATGTTAATGCAATGCTGCGACTGTATTGTTGGTTGATATAGTTGATGTAACCGTTTCGTTAAGATAGTGTGTGTAACGCATTGTTAATGTAGTGTGCTTAACCGTTTTGTTAATGTTGTTATTGTAATGGTATTGTTATTGTTGTGGCTGGTTTGAAAGATTCACACTGAGACAGTCGGTTCACAAACATTTATCGGATTAACATTTCAATCATTTAAACATCAGCGAGGACAGCAATTAAAATTGCGTCCATTTGCATTAGCTATTTATAAAAGAACCCGCTAAATAAATAGACAAGTCACGAATAAACACCATTGCTACTAAATGTATTCACAAAAAACTTCAATGCAAATAACGATGAATGAGCATTTTTTTTTAAAATTCACGAACACATTATAAAGATTTTGTCATGTATACATTAACTTTAACGCCTCTAATTAACGATGCGTTTTTATAGAAACGCATATTTACCAAAACACACACCACACACACACACACCACACACACACACTTACACATACACACTCATATTTTTTTGTTTTTTATTATGCAGCTCTGACATACTCAGAGCTCTGTCATACGTATCATCTCTGTATTTAAACCTTCGTGCCACAAAGACTGTACTCTCCACGCCACACGACGTTCACACACATTATGTATGCACGCGCAAGCACCGCATCATATGTACATGGCGTATGATAGCCTTTGAACTTCGGACCGACAGTATTCGAACCAAGCCATCGCGTAACTGCACGAGTCATGGCATTTTTACCAACTAAACTAACTCGCCGACCTTATATGGATTGCATTTTTTTGAAAGGGTCATTGATGCGACTTCATGTGGGCAAAAAGTCTAATTATAGACAAACATCGACGATCACAGACCCACGCCCCTGTGCCGCTTCCATCCCGGGCCACCTGTAACGACAACCAATGACAGCCTTCACAATAAATCGTTGAAAGTGAGGCACGTTCGTGCGGCATGCGACACTTTCCTCCACAAGGTCGACCTCATCAGGCACAACGGGTTGAGACGCAATGACCAACCATGTGGACGCATCAGTTTGGCTGAACTGTAGTGTAGTGTAACCGTCCCTATAGCACAACTGAAGGTACTATAATTTGAAATCAGAGTTTCACCTTCTTCTAAATAGATTGCTTAAGAAGCTGACGGATATTTTTACTCTGGAACCAGCAGAACGCTAGTTTTAAGGCGCTTGTTATTTGCTTTTCGCCCTCTCCTTTTAGCATTGCCCACCCCTCGCCACGTGGAGGCCAGGAGTAGGACTTGGTGGATTCACAACGTCATCAGATTGCAAAGCATACGGAAGCACTTTATAGATGTTGGGAGATATGACCCCAACATCCCCTCCTGCTAAAATCAACCATTTTGAGGGAGCAACACACACACACACACACACACATATATATATATATATACACACACACTCACACAAACAAACACAAACACACAGACACACACACAAACACACACATAGACACAATCATCGTATGCACAAATCAGCAAACTGAAATTATTTCCGTGGGCCCCCATCCCTTAGTACAACATTAACAACGTTTACAATTAAATTAAGATTGGAGCAGTTGATGATGTTGATCTAAGAAAACGGTGCTTGGTTGGACGGCACAACAAAAATACATGGCTCGTTCGAGATGTGTAATTAACAAACGACATGCATGGCGCTTCGTACCGAGCGAGTACACGAAACTACAGACTTACGTCAATTAAATAAGTTTTTTAACGTTTGTATGTATGTATGTATATGCATGTATGTATGTCTTTATGTATGTATTTATGTATGTATTTATGTATGTATGTATGTATGTATGTATGTATGTATGTATGTATGTATGTATGTATGTATGTATGTATGTATGTATGTATGTATGTATGTATGTATGTATGTAAGTATGTATGTATGTATGTATGTGTGTTTGTATGTTTTATGCCAATGCCACACGGCGTTTATGGGCAAAATTAGATTAACAATCGTCGTATTTAAAGTTCATTTTATTATAAAATAATATTTTAAATGTTGAACGTTAACGCGTTAATTGAAAAATGATTGCTTAGTTTTAACAGTCAATGCATCTAGGAAGTCTATCGCAGAGATGTATCATCAGACAGAAGAACACAGAGCAGTTTTAAAAATTTACATTCAACGTTATTCTTTATAGCGCCGAAGCAACCCTGGTACACGCAACAGTCTAGAGAGGCAAGCGAAATGGCGCCGTCTTCAATTCTCAAGTCATTCTTTCAATACTGCAATCACGTTGTTACTTTTTTAAATTTCATCTTTTTAGAAAGCTCACTGTCTTGTTTATCCATTCATCGGCGGTTGTATTAGTGATGCAAACGAATTCAATCGGACGATGTTGAATGTTCGAGATTTTAATACTTGAAAGCTTCTTTCGTTCGTCCGTGGCACATGAAAATAAAATTTCGCCCTCGCCAACAACTGCTTGCTGCCCAACAAATCAAGACACGCCAACAACTGAGACGATGCCGAAACATGTAGTGGAACTAATTCCTTGTTGGTGTAGGTGCGTATAAAGGTGACTCAAACGCATCTGCGCAGTAAACGGAGGAGAGAAATAGAAAGAAAAAGAGAGAAATACATGGTGCCTCGGTAACCATCTCTATTGTTGAACCTGTCACACTTCGTTACTCAGTAGCCATGATTTATTTATTTACAATTATATCATGGATGTATATGCATTATATGAATTATATGCAGAAGCAAACGAATTCGGCTCTTGATAAGAGACAACATTTTAAACGTTCGTCTCGATCTCAACGTTGATCGTTCTATTTAAAAGTCGAAACGATTTGAAGCAATGACGTAGTTTAATTTTTAAAAATTTGAAAAAAATAGAAACAATATTAAAATACTTAAGGTCAAATAAACAAAGGTCTGTATGTATGCAATAATATAAACTCACATTCGCATTTATCAATTTGTTATTCATCACTTCATAAGGGACGCAGAAAGACAAGGATAGGAGGGGACGTGTTGACAATCATTTTTATTTCACGAAAATGTGTATCAAATAAAAATAAAATGTTGATATAAAAAGTTTGAACACATCATAATGGGAACATAACCTAAAGATACAAACATTCTGTGTTTTAAAAGCAGCGATGATAAATAAAGATATTTTCATATTATAAGCAATAAAAAAAATATGATCGAACTAACATTATTTAGCGATGTTATTAAATTAAAATTGATTATTAGAACAGTGCATGTTTGAAATCTTAAATGTTATCATCACCATAAAATCTAACTTCAAAATAAAATATCATAGATATCTAGAAGCAAGTCGCCTGCTAAAAAACGTGTCATTAATAATTTGATAATGAAATAAAAATAAAGAAAATAATCATTTGAAGCAATCTACATAATATACACCGCTGGCCACGAAACCAAATGAAAGATAAACTCAAATAAATAATTCACGTTCAGACAGACATTCTTCAGAAAATGGAACAGATTATAATGAAACAAATGTATGAATGAATGATAGAATAAATAAATGAATGAATGAAATAAAAATATTTAACAATATTCACACATTTAACTAGTAAGCAGTTTGCAAGGCACAAAAGATTTTGAATTTTGAGTCCCATTCTAAAATAGCTTGGCGACACAAAAATATTGAATTTAATAAACTTAATTTAATGTCTCAGGTGTCGTGAAGAATGATGAGACCGACTACAAAACTTGAATGATTTGTAAATATACAGCACGTTATTCAACATCAGTCAGGTGATGCCACATCGTAAAATCAAGAATAAACAAACGATTCGAATTTTTAAAAATTATAAACCTGAATTTCTATTCATTCCTAACTAACTTACTTACAACAGACATGATAGTGCTCGTTAAATCGAAGGAAACATTTGTATGAACGATGTTGCGTGTGATCTTACATGAATGATGTGTGCGATTTGAAGTGAGTATCTATCTATTGCTTTCACCGCCAACGAAAATTGATGATGCATGATGTTTAATGAAATGATCAACAAAAGAAACGATCAGCTGAGCCAGGCAGCAAGAACTTTGAATGAGCCATTGAAAGTAAGCTACTAACATGAACAGTCTCAGACAAGATTAACAAACGAAGCGTACTTTTCAAGGTCCCCCAAGAGAAACACAAAGAATCATACATTCCAATTAATGAATAATACACTCAAATTACATTAAAAACTGTACACATGACAATGAAATTGACATAAAACACATTAAACATTTTTGAAAAATATAAGTCTCAACAGTTAAACGTAATTAAAATTAAAAAAAGACAAAATAAGGGTAGAATATCGAAAACAAAAGCCTTAGAAAAAAGAAAGTGTGCGTGCAGACAGGCAAGCACGAACGTTCGTAATAAATGGTGAGACGTTTGGATGTAGTTGGAGATAGGAAGGTGAAGATCAGGAGATGGCAGTGGACGACGAACAAGCAGCAAATTCAAACAGTGTACAGCCTAACGATTGGACTAGATGATGTTTGTATGAGCCTTTACTCTACGTGCATTTTCATTTTTAGTGATATTAATAGCAATAAGAAAATTTCAATTAATAAAATATAAATTAAATAAAATGATAAAAACAGCAGAAATAATATAAATGAAAATAGCTAAAAATTTAAAAATTAATTGAACACGGACACAGTTAATATTTTTTTTAGCAATAAACATTAAACATTGGCATTTCAACATTAAAATAAGAAACGAAAATGGAAATGACACAAAAGAATGACGATAAAAACATGGACGAAGAAAACATTTTGTATGTTGCCAGAAAAAGTGGTGCAAAAACTTGCCAAGTGGACGACACAACTCATTCCCAAATCAAAACTCACCTCCAATCTGTTGAGCCTAATCAAACCTCTTCCATTCAACAAAAACTTTCCATAACAAAAGGAAACGAGTGGTTGTGTCGAACACGAAAGCGAGTGATTCGAACTGGAATAATATAAACAATGCAGTTAACACACTGAGAGGAAACAGCAAACTTGCGGCAGACGTGTATAAGAGGAACCGAAAAAATTAGAATAGATAATAATAAAAATTCTTCTGAGACACGCAGTAACAAGGATGTAACTGGGGTACCCACTTGTCCATTCATGGCAGAGCAATGTTGGAGCAAGAAAGCAACGTGACAGCTATGTAAAAATCCTGTCAGTGTGTTCTCTTCATTTCATGACAGCTACCCTGACAAGCGTCACAGACCCTGATGACGTGAATGTTTATGCAAATCAAATACACAATGTCATGTCCCATGTCCATTCTTAGCATAAGTGGCACGAGTGAAGCACTCCTAACGACCATTCACAATCACAGCAGAGAAAAAAATGACCATGAGACAAACCAGTCAGAACAAATATTACGCAACTAACTTCAATATAAATAAATCTGTATATGTGCAAACAACATTCGAATGATGATATTGTAATGTAGATTTAGAATTTATTTAAAGTTACAATTAGACAACATAAAATGATCAACTGAAAATTTAATGTGCAAATCATATTCATGATCGGTTTAATTCAAAGACAAAGAAATAAATATTGTTGGAGATAATCAATATTTCTAATAAACTGGTAAAGAAAGATAATTCTTTAACATATTTCAAGCTGTTAAACAAAAAAAAAAAAATCTAAAAACATGTTAAAAAAGGTTAAAATCGAGAAAATAAATTTCGAATACTGTTACTGATCCAAACGAAGGGTGATCTACTTATTAAAAAGATGGTCACAAATTTGAAATAATTTTTTTTTTGTAATATACGTACTTCTAATTGAAAAAGTAAAATAAATTCATGAAAAGTGTATGAAATAATAAATTAATATCTTTACACGGAGAACAAGGAGCGCAATGGATGGAACGAACGAAATTAAACTATCACGGCTTGACCTCAGAAAAGATAAAACTCACCCAAACCTTACAAATAATTGATCATTAGCAAACATCATTAACATTACCCATTATCACCACATCTGTCATCATCATCATCACCACCATCATATTTAATGATCTCTTTTATCACTTTGAAAACATTTTTCCTCTTTCTAATTCTTCATTCCAACATTCAATTATTCCATTTTAAAGCTGTTTAAAATTTTTATTTCTAATAAATATATTTCATATTTCAATGAACAAAACGTGAAATGACGTTGATAGCACTATCATTATCACTGATACCATATAAGAAAGAACTATGAAATGGTTTACCAAAACATTATAATCATTGAAGATATTATATCACATCATCAGAATCATCATCAGCATCAGAATCGTTATCACTATCATCATTCCAAAGAGGCAGCAGTCAAATTGAAGAAGTAATGTGTGTGATCTATGGACGGAAGATGATAGATGATGATGGCAGACGATAATGGCAAATGGCCGGTGGAAAATTATAAAAATCTTGAAGTATAAAAGATATAAAATTAAAAAGAAAAACGTAAGTTGCGTCGCATACGTGATGGCCAATCTCACCATTTTTATGACCACCACCATCAAAACATTTATTAGGACTACAAAATTAAAACCCAACAAAATTTCAATAGACCGTACATCAACTAAACCAACAAACCATGTAAATGAACTTGATGTGATTGAAGAACAGTAATGAAAACATGAACACGTGTCAGATGACATCAGCGTAAAAGGATGACACCAACATTAATATTAAAAAAATATTTAGTCACTGTTCGTTATTATATAAGCAAAAATCCACGAAACATCATCATCACAGAACTGTAGGCTTAGCTGACGGTGAGGACGACGATGATGAGATGAGCGCGTTGACGGTGGTGGCGATGGCTACGATGTTGAAGTCGTCGGTGACGCTCGACGCTGCACATATGTGGCTCTGTGGTTTGGTTTCAAAATTCATTCAATTACAATCAATAAAATTCATTTTTCAAAATTTTAATAAAATGTTTTATTTCTCAATGTAATTTATTACTTTATTAAAAGATATCTATTTTTAAAAATTAGTTTTGCGAGAATAAAATTATCAACCATAAAATTATCAACCAAGAAATCCGCCATAAACAGACTCAACGCAAAAGGTTAGGACTCAGTGAAACAGCAAAATATAATAAGGGTAAAAAAATTCCTCAGTTTTAGATTGAAATGATTCTACAAAAAATAACTAAAGAATGATGGTTCATCAACTAAACAACAAACAACAACCATCACACAAACACAAACCAACCCCACCAGACAACATGCAACAAAAGTAGCAACCTGATCGACTCCAAATTTTCTACAAGCCTGCAGAAAGTTGTCAACATTTCTTCGAACTTTTGGAGCACTGAGAACCGGCTGTGAGTTTGAAGACAAAAAAAATTCATGAGCAGTTACTAAAACAAAAAATGAAAATTAATTACAATTAAATACGATGTTATTTTCATATTAATGTCACCAACATTCCAATTACTTTTAAATATAATATTCAATTTAATAATTTTAAAAATAATCAAGCGAACAACTTGCATTAATGAGGAAAATTTGAATAATTACTGAAATACATTAAAAAAAAACCAGAATGAAAAATAGAGCCATGAGAGTTTTATTTACAGAAAAAAAAAGGAAATGACAAAAACCCACAGCTGTATGTGAGGTAACGTGAATGCATGGAACGGCTCTGGGCCGCACAACATTGATGAGGTGACACAAGATGACCCCGTCCTTTAAAGAGGACTCCAGCGTTTCGAATGGAAGATTCGTCTTCAGTAATGTTTCCATTGACTGGATGGGTGGTGGGTTAGCGTTTAGAATTTTTAATAAGAAGCAAATTATTTGAACCCCAAAAATGAGCCAGAAAACAAAATTGAACTCAACGTGGGCGCCATCTACATGATCTCACAAAACAGCTGAATCTAATGAATGAGTGCCTCTTAAAGCCTAATAAACCTTGCGCCTTTGACAGCCTCTCATTTAAACCACCCATCGCAACAACTAAAATATATTGAGACTTCATTAATTTACCAAGTTTCCTACTATAAATGAACTGCAACAAATTACAAATCTTTCTACCATGCTTGTTGATTTCTAACCTCATATTTCAATGAAAAGTACTAGGATACCAGTCCAAAAATAACAAAAACATATAATTTATTAGTTTCATGAATAAATTGAAATATTATTAAAAAAAAATTACTTTTCTCATTTTTTCAACTTGCGCTTTCTCCTTGTCGTTCATCACATCCCTCGACTTGCTTCCTGCAGCGTCTTGTTTTGAACCTGTGTGAGAGTAAGAGAGAGATGGCCGATGAATGAATGAATGTGTGCAGCGTGAAGGATAAAATGCAAAACGATAACATTGTTTTGAACCTGTGTGAGAGTAAGAGAGAGATGGCCGATGAATGAATGAATGTGTGCAGCGTGAAGGATAAAATGCAAAACGATAACATTAAGTGCATTGATGCATTAATGCAGTTTTATCGATTGAATGCAGACCATACAAAATCATAGAACACAAATCATGGAAGACATACAATGATGCAGACCTGCATTAACGTTGTTGGGGCCACTAGATGTCAATCCATTCAGGCGATTCGCAGATGTTTTTGATTGGTTCGAGTTATTGCTGCTGCTGTTCGTCTTCAACTGGAAACAAACGTCACTTTATGGTCAATTTCAAACAAATCAACAAAACATTACTTTGAAAAGAACTCAAATGAAGCTTTAATTAAAATCATTCAAGTGTATTTTATTACAAAGAACTATAAACAATGTATAATATTAAACTATCAACAATACATCAACTTGCCACAACATTGAAAACAGCTAAAATCAAGCTACACTTTAAAAATTTCCAAACAATGCTTGCACATGTTGGCAGCATTGACTATGACACAACTTACCTCGTCATATACCACACATGCAATGTTAAAAACCAAAGAACATGACAAAATGAAATAACATTTGAACACAATTTATGTATGTCCTTCCAGGAACATTACTTTCCAACAGATCATATAAAAAGTACTGCTTAAATTCAGATAGTATTCTTAACAGCCCCTACAAAATTGTATTAAAAATAAATCTTATCAGATTGAAAAGATTATCAGTCAGCCCACACAAACAAACACAAGGCAACAGAATTATTAAAACTAGCAATTATAATGAAACATCCTGCACACAAAATTTGATTATCTTAACCCGGGCAATTATCTGAAAAATGAGCCATCATAAAATATACACAAATGAAACAAACATCTATAATAGTTTAAAAGGTCAGGGACGAAATGATCAAATTTACTTGTGACAAAATCAACGCAATTAACATCAACTTTTGTTAACTAAAAACGCTTCTCATTGAATCAATGCAAACTTTCATTGAATGAAAAGAAGGTATGAAAGCTTTAAAAGTTATATACATCTAAAACCACCCAGCACAGAAACATCAAGCAATAAACATTAATAACGTAAAATTTATTATGCAGAAAAATGTTTCCACTGACATTAGATGTTATGCTGTTAGTTGCTGCACCATTCACTCTTGCGTTGTCTTCACTGCTGTTCTGCGTTATTCCTGGTGCTCCTGCTGTTGATTTGCGAAGGACAGGCACTTTGAAGTTTTGAAGTTTCGACTTTGGTTTGGCCTGGTGAGGTGAGTGAGGGGAAAAATGTTTAAATATTTTAGAATATATAGAGTTATCAAGAATCTAATTTACAAACGCAGAAACTGTATTTTTTTATACAAAAATATTGGTATTGATAAGTATTGGAATAAAGACTGCAAAAACAAAAACGTGATAGAAGTATATTAGAAGATGTGAACATATCTGCGAAGAGAAACGCATCAACACCTGTTCAACAGCTTCCCTGCCGGAGCCACAGCGAGGCAACGTGTTTGCATTGGACGAGGGCCAACCATTTGGATAGGAGGGCAGTGATGTTGATGAGGAGGAGGAAGCTGATGATGGAGAAAAAACTGTTGATGCACTCTGCTTATCTTCAGCACTGTTGAGTATAACATGTTGTTCATATCACGTTAATACATAACTTTGGATAACGCTGATAGAATGTTAATAATAATTAATTGAATAAATAAAACTTATCATTGTTTCATTTAAATTTTCTCACATTAATGCGTCACATTATTGTGCAGTAATTGAGTTTCAAAAGCAAATTCAAGATAACTAATTGGACCACGCATCAATGTTATCTCACATACACCATCTGCTGTTAATCGGCTTTGTCAGCACAATGTAAAGAATGGTACATGGAATGACAAAATTAGTTGACTGATTTAAACTGCTTTACAGAAAACTTCAGCAACAATTTAATTTATTTACGGCAGAAAGTAATGAAAAAAATTAACCATCTTCAAAAAAAACAGATGAATACAGAATCTATTTAAAAAAATTAAAAAAACATAGAAAGGAAAAAATGGAGAATAATGTCGAGAGAACTGAGGTAAACAAAAAGAATAACTAAACAAACGAGTTAACTAGTGATGAGATATTTGACAGAAGGGCGAACACGTATCTGAGGTTCTTCATAAAGGGGCGCTATATAAATCATCGCATACAAATACAAAAAGAAAGTAGCGCCTTCTCCACAATGGCTTACCTAGACCCATTAACGAGACAGTCTGTTGTGACACTTTTAGTAGTGCTGCTGCCACTACTGCTGCCGTTGATTGTGAGGTTGTTATTAATGGAATTGACTTCATTGAGATAGTGCTGTAGGATGATGTTTCGCTCAGCATCATTCTTAGCAGTGTCCAGCTTCTGCTTCAACAGCTCCACCTTCTTTTTCTTCGATTCATACTCGGCCTTCTGCCTCTGCAGCTCCTTATTAAATGAATTTGATAAAAAATTCATAAAATTTTAAAACATTGAAACGTAAGCGTGGAAAGACAATATGCAAATAATCAAGGCTGTTAAGAAGGAAATAATAGTAGAAGTAGAAGTGATGTACGGTGTGCAAGAAGAAATGAGATACTTTGATACTGTGAGAAACAAATAAAATGAAAAATGAAGATAAATAAATGAAACATTTTAAAATATAAAATAGACTTAATAGTAAATAATGAAAAATTAAACCTGCAAAGACAAAAAAGAATCTTGATGAAAAATATAAAGTGATATAGCTAAAAATAGTTGATAAAGCTTACAAAAATATTTTTTATTGAGAGTGTTGTTTAAAGCCTAAACATGAAAAAGATTTAATATATTTTTTCACATTCTCTCCTTGACCCACCTTACTTATGGCATCATTATCAGGATGTTTATTTCTTGCATCTAATAAATTAGGCTTGTCACTTCTGAGAAGGTTGTTGTTGTTGCTGCTGCTGTTGTTGTTGTTTTGACGTTGCTGTGAGTGTTGAAGGCCAGTCAGCCACACTTCCAATTGATGAGAAGCAGCACTCGCTTGACTTGCCAATTTGTTACTTTTAGATGCAGTTGTTGTTGTTGTTGTTGCTACTGCTGCTACTGTGGGGGTTAATGATGGGCTTATGTTGTTGTTGTTCATTATGTTTTCATATGCAGAAATGCTAGTTGAGTTGTTGGTTGTCTTTTTCCCAATGTTGTTGCTGTTGTTGTTGTTTGAATCAATATTTCTTCTCTGTTAAAGATTTGAAATAAAATATTAAAGAATTCTTTATTCTGTTTAATATAAACTAAAATGAAGCACTGATCTACTATTATCTGCATGCAGTTCATTTTCTACCTCATCAGCATCATCCAATCAAGCCCAACTCAAGAGTTTATCACCAAAGTGAACACACCCAAACAACAATACATTATCCAGACTGTTGTTGGTGGAGAAAACAAATCAAAATATAACATGATAAAAAGAACCAAATAAAAACCAAACAAAACAAAAATCATGATAAAAAACCATGATAATGCCATGGAGATACATAAATCATCACTAAACAAATAATCACATAGAAGGTTGCACTCAGCATTATTGCAAATAAACAATTGGACACACCCATATCGTTAATACTAATAAGACATAATTCATTCTAGCATAGCATATTTTTATATCTACATTTATTCTCAAGTATATTAATAGTAATTCAATTATATACTTAAAAAATAACGGATAGTTAGCTTAGACATAAAAAAAAGAATAACACCACAAGAGAGTTAAGCAAGAATTTTTGTAGAAGTAGCATATAAAGAGAATAATCTCTAGATTGCACATGTGCACATAAACATTACAGGATCGGTTTATAGAACTTTGAAATATGAACTGCTTACCCACCAGTATCAGATGATGATATGATTGATACTGTAAGCTTATTTATGATATCTTTTAAAAAAGGTTTTGGGCATAAACAAGTCTAAGTATACAAAGAACATTATTTCGCATTATGGGAAATATCCAACTTGAAATGGAAAAAATGATGTTAATGTACAAAAAAGACATCAAACAAAGGATATCATTGAGAGAATGGTTAACTAACATTATCACAGGTTAAGGAAGATTGCTTGGTACTATTATTGCTTGTTGTGGCTATATTCTGCTGTAAAGGAGACCTGTTATTGATGTGATTTCTCATGTTGTTGCTGCTGCTGGTGATGTTGCATTCCTCCAATATAAAACCTTGCCCATTGGCTTAATATTTGTTCATGGTCAGCAAAAAAAACGTATTTGTAATTAATTATTCAAGATAAAATAAAATAAAACCTTTAAAAAGGTTTGACATGACAACAACAACTCTTCTTACAACAAAAACAACAAATAATCCGATAACAACCATAATAGAATGAAACAACGTGGTAAAATATCTAAAATGAACAAGTGCACTGACATCCCCTTTCAATGACTTTGATCTCTCATAATAATCAGCCATTGAACTTTTAAAACTTGTTGATGGGTTTGTCATGCTGTTGAGATTGTTGTGGTTGTTGTTGCTGCTGATATTGTTGTAGATGTTTACATGATTGCCAGTGTAGTTGGTGCTCGTATTGTTGATGACGTTGTTGTAAAAAAGTGAACTGGTATTTCCTATGTTGTAAGATTTAGATCTATCGATTCTGTTAATGTAAAAATTATAAAACTGTGATTAAAAAAGTTATCAACGTTTGTAGATGTGAGATTCAGGTCAGGAAGCTAAATTAACAAAACATGAAATAAAGTTCAACATTCTCAGAATCAATGTGTAAATGTTAATGTGTCCATTGTATAGGACGCTGACTGCTAACTACTACAATTACATTTCCGGATCATGATTAACCCAATTTTATTATCACATAATAACTCTTAAAGTTTTAAAGTTCATCAGAGATAAATATCAATTATCTTGAGGTAATGATAAACCATAGAAACATGTACGGCTGTGGACTAAGGCTGAAGTGGGCCCTAAGCAACATTGTAATTCCGGGCCTGTCTTTCGGCCAAGACACATACTTTGTCAATCAAGTTAATTATCGGATACCATAAAAAGTATAAAAGTCAATTCCATGCAACATCAAATAAACTAATTAAAATTTATTTATAAAAATTAAAAAAGTTAAGACCTAATTTTAGGGCCCTAAAATTACGGACCCTAGGCAATTGCCTAAGCCTTAGTCTGCCCCTGGAAACACATCAAACATTCGAGTTATACTGTGAGTATACTTATTTATTCCACTATTTTCTCACAAAAATCTCTTAAGAAGCCTTTAAAATAACAATTTGGGGAGTTCCCTACAAATCTGAAATAATGTACAACCAGAATGTCGGAATCGGAGATATTCAAAGAGCCGAAGTCGGAGTCGGATATTTTTCATCCGACCCAAAAAGATTTAAAAATTTGAAATTAAAACAATTCTTTTAAAATATGTGCAGTGATATGCTATCATCTTTAACGCTGAAAATAAAAGCTAATAACGAGGATAAAACCACATAAATATGTTTCAGTATATTTTAAAACGTAAATATGAAGTAATTTTACAAACAAAAACAATTACATTGACTGATTTCAAGTGTTTTTTAAAGTACTTCTCATTTGGTAGAGATAATTGAGATTATGATGCAAAAGTTGAAAATTTTTTCATGGACTGGGAACTAGGAATCGGAAATTTGTAACGTTAATTGGAAATTTTAAGGCGCCTGAGTCTGATACTTTTCATCAGACTTCGAAACCCTGGTACAAACACAACACAACACAGCACAACACAACACTGTACAAAAACAACACAATCATTGTATGTTGTGTTGTAATACAATACAACACAACATACAATGATATTTTGATCAATAGTGCCTGTGGTTTGAATTTTATTTTAAATCTTTCAGACTTGTCAACATTAATATAACATTCCATGCATAAATTTTTGTCAAAAATATTCTTGAAAAAATTACATTAAAATTAAATTGTGGCCTAAGGTTTCTAAACAGCAGTGTATCATTTGATTCCATAGCATGCAGAGATGGTGTTGCTTGGAAGTGCATGGTTGGATCAGAAGGTCATTCCACTTATTTAATAAATGCACGAAATCACATGACTGATCACCTTAAACTAGTTCAAACATTCTTTGCAAGTTTCATTGTTAGGTTGATCAGTTTAATGAAACACAGATTTCAAACAAATAGCATTATATGCACGCATTGTGTGCATGCCAACAAGTACATACAAATAAATTTGTTTAACTTAATTAAAAAATCTGACCATTAAATCGAAAAAGCTATAGATTTAATGAGTGATATTTTCAAAAAAGCAGTCCCTCAAACAATTGAGACCTTCCTAAAATTTTAGTATTGTTGGGTGTCATTCAACAGTCACATCCATCAAAATATTCAAGAAATATTTCATGAATTTAAATAGAAGTCATTTAAAATTTATTTTGGAGAACAGAGCTGTAGTGCTGTTCAAATAAAAGTCAAAACAGAAGCTGAGAAATTTCTACAGTACCATTTAACAACACAAAAGAGATGGAAGAGAGAAGGATGTACTAACGTTGTGGAGAAGGAAGATGATCGTTTCATGCGCCTGTGCAGCGAGCCACCGACTGCAATACTCGATCGAGATTCATGTTTCGTGGCTTCCTTGTTCAAAAACTTCATGATGTGCACCAGACCTCGCAAGCACAACTGCGTGCGTGTAATTAATTATTAAAATACAATTTCAAACTGGGAATTGATAAATAAAAAAGTTCCACATAATGTAATTAATTTCGGTTTTTGATGAAAATAAAACCAAACTGTTAATTCACTAAAAAAATTAGCACACAGCAACACACACACACACACACACACACACACACACACACACACACACACACACACACACACACACACAAACGATAGTTAACATATTAGGAAGTGACAGATGACAATTAACTGTTAATAAACAATAATGAAAACTTGTTCAACACTTGTGTCACATTAATACTCTCCACTGAAAACCAGATGGGATGTTTGTGATGATCTGCGTTGTCAGCTAATTATTATCACATGTACAATTGTACATAAAGAAAGTTTGTGTCAACTAATTGTCATCTTTTGTGATATGTACAAGGTACATAGAAGGTATCAATGTTGCATTATTTATTGTTAATCACAACTGTCATTGGAAGTTGATGCATTTCACTCAGCCCATGCTAATTAATAATATGTCAGAGCACAATGTAAATGCCTTGGTGCACATAAGAGGTTCAGTTACTAGATGTTTTAAAACAATAACAATAATAATTAATATCATAATAATAATAAAGCTATAATATTCACCTACCTAATAGACAAATAATGTGGCATATAAAAATGATAAATAGACATCATTATGTCTAATGCATTATAACAACAAATACATTTATATAGAAGCAAACAAAACAACAGGTTTAGAGGTTTTGGTTCAACATCATCATTCATCATTGGCGTCAACAGAATAATTTGTAGGGATCAAAATAAATTCAGTAAGTGAATCTAATTCCTCTGTGCCTATGTTGAAACACATCATCATGAAAATATTGTTATTATTTTTATTGTTGTTGTTGTTGGGTGTATTTCAAATTTGAATTCAAATGTTTGCTAGCACACACAGACACACACTAGCACACACACACACTAGCACGCACACACACACAAACGCACGCACAGCATAATATATTACAAAACAATATAAAATGTATTTAAATTTATTTATTCATTTATAAATGTAAAATAGGTGAGATAAAAGCACACACACAAACCAAAATCATTCGTCAGGGTCATACATATTAAGAGCTTAACCAGAAGAATGTAATGCTGTGCAATCACACATATAACACATAAATGTCATGATATAATATATAAATGATATAGATATGATATAAATGTAATAAATAAATGATATAGTGACAACAATAATCTCAATGTGCGAATATATATATATAAATATAAATAATAGAATATTAAAGTAAGTAAATGAAAAGCTTGAAACCCAAAACTTATGTGTGATAAAGTCTGAAGAAGTTGCAAAAATTTTCTAATAAACATTTTTCTTTTTAAAATTACATATAAGTAGGTAAGTTCTATTAAAAAAATATTCAACCCAGTAGAACATCTTCAATGATGGAAGTTTTCTAAACAAGAGATCAATGATCCAATAAACCATCAAATGCAAAGGTTGTTGTTTGAATCTCATGTGCTTTACTTCTGTTAGGTCTCTTAAAAATCATTTGCATTACTATTCAGTCAGGAATTAGGCCATGCTAAGTCTTTTTATGTGAAGCATTTTGACATGTGCGTGCGTGTGTGTGTATGCGTGTGTGTGTCATCGACAGAGTAATGCTTCATCATCATGATGATTTTGTTGTTGGTGTAACTGATGTTCACCGTTAAAAAAACAATCAACTATCAATTATTATTGAGAATCAGTCACACAAGTATGGATTATATAATTATAAATCACTCTGGAAAGTATGGTGAAAATCATAATAACAATGACCACAACCACAATAAAAAAACAACAATACAAATAGCAATAATAACGGCAATAATAATAACGATAATAACAACAACACAACAACAACAACAATAATAATAATAATAAAAGAGGCCAACGAAGCCAAGAATATTATGACTGTGAAATATCAGGAGCCTAACACAAAAACAAAAAAAACCATTATTAAAAATACAAAATCAGGTACATCTCCATCAAACCAAGAGAAAACAATCAATGTTTGCATTGGTAACATGTACTTGAGAAAAAAAATCAAGAAGTTAAACAACAGCTGATCAAATGAATACCAGCACTAACAGACATCACATTATGATGGTTATGGCCGTTTATAACATGGCATGATGGTATAGCCATTTATTGCAGATATTGTAGCCAAATTTTAGTTCAATATAAAAATTTGTTTAGCTTATAGTTTTATATATGAAAAAATATTTAAGTGGTTTCAAAGCTATTGGTTAAGGCATGCGTATTGCGTATACTTATACATACATACATACATGTATGTACCTATGAATGTATGTATGTATATATGTATGTATGGTATATATATATATATATATATATTATCTTCCTTACAACGTTATGCAATCGTCATGAAGCTACACTAAACATTTTCTAATCATTTTATTACATGGAAGGAAACTGCAACATCAACCTCCTAATCTCACAATGCACACACACAAACACGTTCACACAAACACACAATCTTTAATATCCGTATAAAAATGTACATGATACGGAATAAAATGTGTAATATGGATGTATGGTACACACACCATATCAGAAAGTACACACACACGCATAAAAAAATATTTATATTTATTTATCTATTTACACACGCACACACACACACACCACAACAACAAAGACAGCTTGAAACATGTGAGATCTCAAAATATGCATAAAGATATGAAAGTTAATCAGCATTTCAGACGTGTTTATGCCAGGCAGTGTAGATTAAACATGTTAATTTGTTAACCCTAAGAGTTAAGATAAAGGTTACCAATGCAGTTAAAAACATAAGATAGTAAATTTAGAATTCTAATTGTAGAAATTCAAAAATAAAATAATACTTTTTAAGATGAGCTTTACGGAATAATTAGGTGATAAATAAGACTTTGAAGTAATAAAAATCATAGTAAATATTAGAAAAAAAATAGATAAAGCAACTTAACATGAACATCACAACTTGAGTTTATTTGACAAGAACCATGTTCACCTAATTTAATTTACTCAGACAATGTTTCTAATAAAATTTTACATTTGATGGGTCATTGCCCTAGTGGTGAAATATAAAATATGTAACTTTGATTCAGTCATTTTCAACAACAATGTTGTCCGAACTAAGCATCAATGTTACTACATATACATAATTTGTATAAATAATTTTATATTAACCATCAATTGTTACTCCACAAATTAGACATAGCAAAAACAACTGTTAAACATATTGAAAACATGAAACTTTATGAACCTTTATTGAAAAAGTTAAATGTTAAAAAACAACTGTTAAACATATTGAAAACATGAAACTTTATGAACCTTTATTGAAAAAGTTAAATGAATAGATTATATATAGAAATACTACAAAAGCACTTTTAAAAATAGTCTACTAAATAAAAAAACGAAGACAAAAATTATTCACTATGACAGCTGCTTTAAAATGTAACCTTGCATAAGGTGTAATGCATTTAACAGTAAAATGTAATGAGACCTATAAGGTTAAGGCTTACCTGAGCAGGTGGTGAAACGAATGGGTTGCCTTCCAATTTGATGACCTCCAATGTTGTGACCTTCCTGAAGTCACATGGTATATGTGCTATTCGATTACACGAGATGTCCAGTTTTTGTAACATTAATCGACTTAAGCCTGTTCAAATCACAAAAATAAAATTAAAGGTTACAATTTTATGATTAAAAACAAACAACATTTATATGAAATGTAAAATAATGTATCAGACAAATGATATTGGACCGGTCTCTATGATGTTGGTGGTAACGTTCATCTTCTTCAAAAAACATTAAAACCTTATGTTATTTTTTACTTAAGAGCTATCAGGTAATTAATATTAACATACTATCTTCTCTTTTTCAACATTTTATATTTTCATTATCTGTTTCCACATCAGCAGTGAACTGCAGCAGCACTTGACGTGTGTGGAACCATTTTTCCCAGAAAGGCAGAAGACTCTTTGGAGGATTGCCGTAGTCCAATCTCATGATAGAATTAGGCAACTATCAAGAGTGCTGAGTGACAGCAACATCATTCGTCATTGTATGTCCTACATGTTTTTTAGTGCAGAAGTGGAAAATCCCAAGACTTGTAACATATATGAATTATGGTTACATGAAGTCAAATATTTTCCAAATAGAGTCTGAAATTGGCAGTATAAAATATAAACACGCAGACACCATAAATAAATGATTTAGGGGTTAAAATTTAATTCTAACAGATGGGTAGCTCAATAAGCATGTTTCTTCTGAGATTCAAATCTTTCAATGAGCACAGGTCACCAATTTGGTTAGGCAGTTGAGTTAGTTCATTATTGCTGACATCCTGCTTGTGCATTTCAATTTAATTAGATGTATGAGTGTGTATAGAGTTTGTGTGTCATAATTTTTTGTTAAACATGAAATAACATGAATGCATAATATTAATAATAATAATTTTTATTATTAATATAATAATAATTATTACTACTATAAATCATATTCTATCCCAAACCCAATAAAATCTAAAAACTTGAAAATATAACAAAAATCTGAACAATATCGAATTGAAATCAAATTTGATGTATTATAAGACAGTTGTAGGAGTGCATGTAGTTAGTAGTAGTATAGCTGGTTAGTTGCAGACAAGATACAGATAGGGACCATGGAACAAAATGAATTAAATCTTATCTCAGATATCTAATGTTTTAGATAGCTGCACAATATTGAAGTAGAGTGAAAGATCTCTTAAAGATAAATAATGCATATAACAAGGAACTTAAAATCTAACCAGAAAATGTTTTGGTGATCAAATCATACCGCTAATAACATTATGATACAAATAAATAAACACACCAGCTATATCATTGACTGAATGTAGACACATAAATGTCATGGATACGTCTTCAAGAAAAATCAATAAAACTAATATATTGAAGAAAAGACTTATGTATTCATATGACAACTAAGAAAGAGAATGTTTAAATATATATAGAATACAATAAATAATATGAGCTGATTTTCGTTATTTCGTCTAAATTTCAAAAATAAATTTTGTTATTCCAAAAAAAATTCATCTCATTGGTATTGCATTTGTAGATAAATAAAAATGATGAATACAAAAAGCAAAACATAAAACGGTGAAAGTGATCATCATCTGCCAGTATCAAAATCATGTTACACATAGTAATGTAAATACACTTTACAAAATATTTTTTAAACAAAACAATTTTGCAGTAAAACTGGACCAAAAAATAAAAAGGCCAGAGAAAATGTTTAAAAGGAGAAATATCAATAACATTACAAACATCATTGGCATAATTTCATCATTCAACAATACAAAAAAACCCAACCAAGATTGGATGTATACAGCATTTTTTAAGTACCAGCATTTTTCTTCAAATAAATTAAACATTAGCTAGGAATAGCATTGCAGATAATATAGCTAAAGGCAGCATGCACTCCTAACATAATTTCAAGAAAATTTTGAAACTATAACCTACCATACAAAAATGATGATTAAATTAAAAAGATACAATAAATGAAAAATGATGAGTATTGAATAACCTTAAGAATTAGTGCTGGTATTACATTATTATTAATCATTAATGACATATGACTAATATGCCTAAAAATATTTTGTAACTTTTTCTTTTATTACAAATTTTAGAAAAGAAAAAAAAGAAAAAATCTAACGAGAAGGGAGAGCTTCAGGAGCTGACCAATCTCATCGGGAATGGAGGATAATTTGTTTCCACTGAGTATGAGGATCTGCAGATGATGTAGTTGCTCACATATGCAACCAGGAAGACTGCTCAGCTGGTTGTTACTGCAAGTTAGAATTATCAAGTTATTTGAAATTCATCAAAAAATACTTTTAAATAAAACAAGGGGATTAATATTAATAAATTTGTAAAAATAAAACCAATAAAAGTTAAAAATAATTAAAATTGAAAGCTGATAAAACACAAAAATATATTCAACAAAATGATAATATATGTAAGAACATTAGCTATACATCCACGCTCAAAAAAATCATGCAACGACAAAACTGACAATATCAAACAACAGCAACAACTTAATTAGAAACATGTAAATATTGCAGAAAAATACTGCAAAATTTTTTGCAACAAATAAAGAATAATTAAAATATCTCCATAATGATGTGAAGTGCAACAAAATCATCCATTATTAAAAACACCAGCAGCTCCTAAACTTATTGAAAACAAAAAGATTTCCAATAAATAATTATGCTGGAAAATTATCTAAAAAGGAAATTAATCAGAATAAAATTTCCTCATCTACTTTTTTGAAAAATTTAGCTTCATCAAGTCAAGTTGCTATTAATTTGAACATAAAACCTTTATAATAAAAAAATGTTAAGAACAAAATTAAACAAGATAAATAAAAACAAAAAATATGTAAAGTATAAACAGTATAAAAACTATGAAGTATGGAACCTGATGTTAAGTTCAACAAGTTCTTTTAAATCGGTGATGGCAAAAGGTAAACTTTTGATGGAGTTATGTGATAAATTGAGGAATTCCAATGAAATGAAAGAGCATACTTCAGCTGGTACATCGGAAAATAGGTTGTGTGAGAGTTCTAAGAAGATAAATGTTTAAATCAAGGGTGAAAAATTATGAAAATTAATAAATATTCAAGAATTAGGTTTCAAATTTAGAAAATATAAATAATTAAAGTAAAAATATTGATGTTATTTTATACTATTGTTAATTAAAACTGTTGAACATCATTTTGAACACCACCAAATATTGATATGAAAATGTGATTAAACATCAGTCTGGGTATAGTATGATATCCACTCAGCATTCCTTTCAACAGAGAATGCACTACAAAACTTTAGTAAAGATTATTAAACATAAATGTAGATTACAACAATTACAAGGCTAGAATTACAACATGCTAACAAAACAAACCAACATTTCATTTTATATTCTGTGGGAATGATTCATGTGCTTATTTGAATGAAGGGAACAAAATCACATTAGTTTGATTTTCATGATAAATAAATCATTATGCAATTAAGCTGTGTTGTGTTTCTAGAGGAAGTGCATTTTATAATTAATTTCTTTCAGATTTTCACCACAAATAAATCATAACCCAAGTAGAACAGACAAAAAAAACAAAAAATTGATTTGAGTCCTTAATGCAAATTATAAAAATAATAAAGAATTGATAAAAATTATTGATGACATTGCAGTTGTTTTGCATCATATCTGTTTTGTTTCATAGCAGGATTTTAACCACATTCCTGCTAAATATAAACTATTTTCCTTCATTTTATCAAGTTACGTCACAATCCGGACAGATAAAACTTCTTTATTTCTTTCTTATTCTTTTACCATGACTTTTCTGAGAGCAATGAAACTTGCACTACCATGTAGTTCTTTCTTTTGTTCATAGTGTGTTCTGAGTAGATTGTCTTCTACCTGGCTACCAAAAATTTGTCATATGCAATGGGAGTCCTAGTAGTCATTAATACCATATTTTTCCATCATTTCATCTATTAAGGTTAACCTGAACTTACTTGTTTAGTGTAAGCAACTAACGAATCCCAAATTAAATCATCCAGACAATGAGTAAATAAATAATTTATTCAGTAATATTCAAAGATGACGATGATAATCTACTCTCCGAGTTTGACAAGGACTCTATCATCGACAACACCACATCATGCAGCACGGACATCAACAAAACATTCAACTCACACACAGACAACCCAAAACCATCACTCCAATCCAGCAGCCATAAACGTCATTCCAAAAAAAAACCGATAGGAACAAACACACAAAGGAGGGAGAAGCAGAAAAACATACACCGTCCACAACAGCAACAACAACAAACACATCAACGACATCTGACACAAAACCAATCACAGCAATCATATGCATATTGCCGCCGTTTAGCATTGTAAAGTTTATAAGAAAGCATGGAAGTAATGATGCCAAAAGGCATCAGTATGCTGTAAAGGGTTAAATATAAGATAGCTTGACAGATGTTAGTCTGTTCTGTCAATACCCTCCACTTAATTGTTTTAATTATTTTCAATTTTTTAAATTTATTTTATATCAATGAAAAAACATCATTTTAATTAATGGTAATCCTTTTGTTTTACTTTATGACAGAAACCTTTTCTCCTTGACAAGCCTAGCATTAAAAGTGATCTTGATTTAAAAAGCCATTAAATAATGAACAGCAATGATATGATGAGAGCCATTTAAAAGCCATTTTCAAACTGGATAATAGTTGCAATTAGTAAATCAAAGTAAAATTAAGAATGTAATATAAAATAAATAAAATCTCTTTTAGGCAGATATTCTCAAATCCTAATGACCTAATAATCTAATAATAAATAAATGAATCACACTTACAACAATAGTTATTATTTAATTATTAATATTTAATAGGTAATATTTAATGTAAAAATTAAAATAATAATTAATATTGTGTACACTTTTAATTTGTTTTTTAAAAATCCAACCAAACTGTCAATAAGTCTGGGAAGAAACTTGAAGACAAAATTACAAATTTTAAAAAAATTTGACGCCGCTGTCAAACAAAAAAATTTAACCTACCTGCTTTGCAAAGATCAATCAAATCAAATCTGGATGAGTTCCTTGGGAAATGTTTCAGCTTACGTCCTGTTAATATCAATTCCCCTGTGAACTGACTCTCTTCAAAAATTTTTTCAATGTTTCTCATAAAACCAGTCTCCAACATTTTAACTACAATTAATGTTAAAGAAATAGATCCATTTTAAAAACCGACGAACAACAAAGAGGAAATGTACTCTAGAGTAAAAAGCTAAACATTACAGCCGGAAAATAGTTAATTCACTTTTAATCACACGAAGAGTTGGCGTGTAAAGCAAGAATAACTAAATATATTTTAAGCATGCAGATTGCATACCAGAGATATTTGTCACATCAAAAATATGTTTAAATATTTGATCGAAATTGGCATCATAAAGAATATATAAAAAACAAAACAAAAAAAAACAGTTCAGTTCAGTAAAAAACAGTTCAGTAGACTAGCATCTTTGCAAAAACCAGTACAAAATAAATGTTCTAGACCTAGCCCTACTTAGCTTGATTTTAAAATTGTTGATTGAATCCACTGAAAAAATTTCATCGCTCAGCTCGTTCCAAGCGTTTACCAACTTGCTGCAAAAGAATCTTTGCTTTATTGGATTTTCCGTCATCTTGAAGAGCTTGTATCTACGACCTCTTAATCTTTTTCTTTTTTCTAGTTGAAAGAACCTAGTGAACGGTGTTTCCTCTTTTCCAGTTATTAACTTATATGTCAGATTTCTTCTGCATCTTCTCCTTCCTAGTGTTGTTAATCCGCATTCTTTCAGTCTATCCATATATTCTAGTTTTCCAACTCCTTCGATCATCTTTGTTGCTGTAAGCTGTACCCGTTAAAGAATGTCTTTGTCTTTTTGCAGATCTGGACTCCAAACCTGTGAACAGTATACTCGAGATGAGTGCAAACTAATGTTTTATACAAATTTATGTTAATCAACTTCTCTCTGCCCACCACCATTCTTCTAATACATCTAAGTATTTGATTTGCTTTGGCTGCTGCCAAAGTTTATTTTCTTGATGTTTTCGTGTTTTTATGAATAGTGATTCCGAGGTTTTTTTTCTTTTGCAAATCAAAGGTCCTTATACTGCCCAGTTTATACTGAAAGCCATTGTTCTTTCTTCCCATATGCATAACTTTACATTTGTTTATGCTAAATAGCATTAGCCAATCTTCAGACCATTTGTAGAGTCTTGTCAAATCTTGTCTTTGTACTTCCGCATCTTCCTCTTAGATTTAAGGCTAAAATTATTACGATTATTTATTATGAATTATTATCATATATCTTTTATTTTACTTTTTAAGACAAGTAAACTTACGTTTTTAGTTTTTGAGTTTTTTCTTCTCATATGGTTTAACAACTTGTCTCTAATTAGTATTTTGTCTCTCGTTCTATTTTATTTTAATTTTTTATTGCTATTTAAAATTATTTATTTATTATTTGTTTATTTAATGATTTTATTAAACTTGGTTATATCATTTGGCTATGTTACCTGGATGTGAACATAAGGACCCGGCTCGCGCCCACGATTTTTCTCTTGAGTAGGATATTTTTCCAAATTTTACTCTACAAAGCCAGGTAATCAAAAAAGACAAGCTTGTGCGGATTACCTTAACTAAAGTGCAAACCCTATCAATGTGCTCTTTATTCTTTAGAACGCTATTCTTCAAGCTGATATTTTTCTTCGTTGAACATTTGGAACTTTGTTGGAGGATGTATTTCGTCTGGCAGAGGAGATACATTCAGTCGATAGTATTGTAATTTTCGTTGGAATTTCTGAATAATATATAATTGAGTAAGTTTGAAAATGAAGCATTTAAATTGTAAATAAAGTTTATGACATCAAAGCTGCTCTTGTTCTGAGTAATGTTTATAAACAACAAAAAACAACACGTCTAATAATGTTGTAATAAACAACACGTTAATTCTTATCTGAAATTACATGGCTCCAATCTCTAACATTAACTAAATTTATTTACCAGATTATAACTTTTTTTTAACAAAGAATGTATTAAAACAATATTTTTTTAAAATAAAATTAGCTGTAAGTTGGGTGAAACTAAAGTTTAAATGCCTTAAATTATTCTATTAAATATAATTTTGGTTATTCCTATTGCTCTATGCATTGTTCAGAAATTTAATTTTTTCAACTTGGCTAAAAGTGAGATTTGACGCAACCATCAAAATAATATTTGCGATCACTAAATTGTTATTTTAAAATGCAATGTTGTAAATTTTACATTATTTTTAAAGAAAAGATTTAGAGTTCAATTTTGCATGAATAATTCAACACAAAATTCAGGGCAAATAAAATATATTCGCAGGTAGATGATTTGTAATTGTGAGTTTGAAATTAATACGTTAAATAATGTTTTCAAAGTTTGGCTATATAAATTTTATTCAATAATTATTATATGAACTAATGTATTAATAAATATTTCGTCGAAGTTGCATAAGAAAATGTCAGTGCCAATTAAGAAAGGACAAACGGCAATTATTCCATCAAGTCAGAGGAAAGTGAATTTTTTATATTTTTTTTATTAACAACTTCCCAGAATATCTAAAAATAAATTATCAATAAAATTTAGTTTTTAATTTCAATCTTTAAATTTTAATAATATTGAATGAAAATACAACTAATTAATAATTTCTTTTATTTTTAAAACCTCTCATTAGGTAATGTCAAATTTACGGCGTAAAATAAAAATTTTAATGGAATTTCGTAAGGTTTGTTTTGGAAAGATTCGAATGAATATGTAAATTTTCATGTTCAATTATCATTTTATGAAAAAAATTAAAAAAAATTAAATGAATAATTTTTAAGAGATTTTTGCGTTTCACCGTTTGCAAACGTTTCAACACGTGAAATAACAAAAATGAATAAATTTTATTACGAGAGAATTGTTTAGAATTTTATTCTTCTCCTTAATGTTATCAAGTGTAGTCGTTTTTCTTGAAAAATGTCATATCTTTCAATTATTTAGTAAATCATTATTTCGAAAAATTGTAATATCAGATGTGTGTTAAACACTTTATCGCACAATAAAGACGTGATAATAAAATTGATTACTCAAGTCAAATAATTTTTTGTTTCACAAGAACAAATAAAATAATTTGATTTAATACCAATGACAATTATGACAACCAATCATGACATTAACTACAACAAAATTCAAAGTGACAAAATCGTCGAAAATAATTTTGCAGTCATCATAATTTCGATTTTGTCCAGACGCATGGCGCGCAATATCCGAGAGTTAGAATGCGAAGGAAGGAAGAACGAAACGAAGGATTGAATACCGTGTATATGATTGGATTGATGAGACTCGAAGTGTAGCCCAACCAGAGTACGTACTTGAAGAAGCTCTCATCAAATTTACATTGAGGACAGACGCCCATGGCGAAGTTGACGCAAAAAAAAACAAACCAGCAGACGACAAACATCAGAAACATCAAACCAAGAACTTTGACTGCTTTGCGTTCGTTGTTGACAGTTTTTGACGTGCTGTTGCTGCTGACGTTGTTCTTACTGCTGCTGTTGCTGCTAAACGTTTTCAACAACAATCGACTCCCATGTTGTTGCTGCTGGCGAATGTTATTTGTGTTTCGGCAGTAGCGAGAGTTTGTGGTGGTTGACGACGAGGCAGATGCCGTTGATGAGCGATTGAATGATTGAAGTCTGATTCTGAATGTTAAACAATTTTTTGACTTTTTGTTGTTGTTGTCGTCGTCGTCATTATTGACGATGTAGTTGCAGCTGTGAATAATGTTTTCCTCGGTGCTAGATTGATCGAAATTAGTTCCTTCTCTTTGTGACTTAGAATCATGGCAGTTGCAATTATTTCCAATCTGTTCATTAAAATTAAAAGAGCTGCCAGCAGAGATATTAACATCTTCTTCTTGATGGATTCTACGTACAGCCAGATGTTTCTTAGCGTATTCGCTGCGTAACGTAGAAGCTTTGTTTAATGGTTGTTGTGTATTTGCACTAGTCATGCTGGTTTTGTTGCTGGTTTGTGTAAATATATTGAATTCAGAGGAATCGTGGGAACGAGTTGAATGTTGCTTTTGTCGGGTGAGTTTATTTCGCTTGTTTGTATGAGGAGATGAATGTTCACGATAATGGTGACGTTGACTGGGATGTGGATGCATGATTTTTATATCCGTCATTTCCGATGTTTCTGTTGTAATTTTTTTATGGATGTACTTACGATACCACTGCAAATAAGGTTGCTCGTTGAAACTCAAATTAGAACTTGGGTTCGACAAAGAATGAGATAAATTATTTTTCGCAATGTCCTTTTCATTGTTCTCATAATTTTTAGTATTTTCAATTATCAAACCGTTCATTGAAGTGGTGAAGACTAATGATGGTGGCAATGACGAAATGACGCCTAATTTGAGTTGCTTCATATTTTCGTCGTGCTCTGCTTCTTTTGAAATATTCATCATTTTTATTTTAGCAGGCTTTTTGTTTGTATATTGGCTGCTTGCGCTGTCTCTACCATCGTTGCTGTTGTCACGGCTATTGTTGTAATTCATGCCACTACTATTGTTACATATACTTGTTTTGTTTGCATAACCATCAGTTTCAACAACACTTTTTCGAACTTGACTTGATTTTATTTCGTAACATTTTTTATTCTCATTACTTAGCAGCGTTATTGTGTTAGCTTTGTGCATCTGCTTTTTCATATCTCCGTTAGTTAAATAGTAAGTAAGATTTACATTTGGTAAGTTAGCAAAGGAGTTACAACGACTCTCCAGGCTTGTTTTTTGGCTGTTTGCGTCGCAGGCACAACGATCAATGATCGATACATTATTTGAACTTCCAGTTTTTACTTGATTTTTTATTAATCTATCATCACTGTTGGAATAATATTCGTCGCTACTGACTGTTCTAAATCTTTTCAAAACGTGGTTGGGTTTGAATGTGTTGGGTGTTTGCGATCTGTTTGAGGATTCATAATTGAATGAGTTGGCGTGTCTAATCGTTGTTTCCAATCGTTTCGTTTGCAACCGTCTCTTTGAAACCGTTCTTCGCAGACCTCCACTCTTTTCAAGTTCTTTTGCTTTTTGACTGAGCAACCTAATTGTAAGTGAATATGTTAATAACATGACGACCAGCGGTAAGAAAAATGCAGCAATCGAACCGTAGACCAAAAAATTTGGATTTGATATAATACATTCTGATTTTGAATTGAGTATGTCCAATGGTCTGAATGTTGCTAAAAGAGCGAGCGGCGAAGATATCGATATGGCGAAAATCCAGACAGCAGCGATCCTAAAAGCCACCGATCGTTTGGACCTGTTTCTTAGGGACATGGGGTCTCTAATGCATTTGTACCTATCAAGGGAGATGATGCACATGTGCATGATGGACGAGGTGCACATCGTCACATCTGACATTTGCCACAATGTACACGTCACCAGCCCGAATGCCCAGAATCCTGTTGGGAATGTTTGTTTAAGATTAATGATAGGTATAATTTTTTAAATAAATACATGTTTTCAAAAGGTTTTTAATTATAAGTACGATATGATACTAATTGGTCAAAAGTTATGCAATGATTATAAATTGGGTATATATCTGAATAACAAACAGACGCTCACACGCATAATATTGAATGAGATCAATATGCTAATGTTTCTACTTAATTTATTCAAATCTTTTTATCAAATCATTTAAAAAATACATTTTTCATTTTTAATAGTTTTTTTTGTAATTCAATCCAATTCGTTCATTTTTTTAGTTTTTTCTCAAATTTATGACATCAATGTAAATTTATATCTATGGTTCTAACAATTACGATTCATTGTTAAAATAAATATAAATGCCTTCGCATCTTTCCAGACTGCGTATTATATACATAATTAGTGCAGAATAAAATATATTAAGTGGAGATTGAAAATATCTCAAGATGGATTCATGTGTTATCGAACGAACCATTTCGGATAACAGAGATAGTGTTGCAGAGAGCAAAACCTCAATGAAGAAATCAATTTACAAGAAGTTCTTAAGGACGATTGAGAACAAGAATTTTTTCTACTGTCAGCAACGATATAGAGAAAATAACAAACCACGTTTTAACGGTAGGGTCGGTTAAGAAGAACGAAGAAGCAGTGTGATCGGGCGCTTCTCGATAGTAACCAGCAATCTGATATCTACAAAGAAATCCAGAAAATTTTTTTCAATTTTCCGAAAAAAATTACGGTAAAATTTAAATGTATAAGTCAACATTTCTTTTCAAAGATTCCTACTTTGAAACGATTGTAAACTAGCGAATGTAAATACTGCCCTGTTGAAACGGGAGGTTTCTGCGAGTGCTCGATTTGCCTGGAAAACTTTAAAGAAAAACTACTCGTGTGTTAATTGAAATGCAAACACGCTTTTTACACAAATTGTTAACATGGTGGTTCAATAATAAAATGACGTGTTTGCTTTGTCACTAGGAATCAAACGCTCATCCGCGCCCGTCTTATTATTACACGGTCAAAGAGCCGGGAGGTAGTAAGAGGAGAGTGGAGAATTATATGGTTACTGGACCATATTTATTACGCTAGTGACAACTTGCTCATTATTTGTGGTTTTGTTATTAATTTTTTTACATATACTTATTAGAAATTGTAATCACATCTAATGATTGAAATAAATATTAAAGTTACAAATTTGTGATGTTTGGCGTTTTATCTTGTGTTTGCAAGAATCGTGTGACGGGTTATATCTATCGTTTGATTGCAAATACGTGAATATGTATAGGGAGTGAGAATTTGTCGACCTGTTTCATCAAGTACGATGGGCAGTACGGGCAAACAATTAATAATCGTTTTAAGATATTAGTTGTAATAATAATAATAATAATTGCAATTAACAATATGATTTTATTGTTATAATTAATACAAATATAAAAGCGGCATATGACAACTCATGTTAAAATAATGCAATGCAGGCAATGATCTGCCGTTGATTTACTTAGTTCAAGTACAGGGTTTCTTCAAGTTGTTTGCAAAAATGTTTGTGTGTGCGTGCGCTTGTGTGTATATGTGTGTGTAAATTTCAAACACATGTTTACAAATATTATTTTAAATGGTTTTATCGTTAGAAAAAAATGAACAGACAAAACAAGGTTATTTTGACAAATATTTCATGAATGAAGTATTAATATTTTGGAGGCTAGTGTTAAACAACTGATTAACAATGTTTAATGACAATGATGATTTTAGATTTTTCCTACTTTTTTTAATTTTTTAAAATTTGTAATTCCTTGAAAATGTTACGATTTGCTTGGATTGTTAATTGCTTTATTTTGATCTTTTTGGTTACTTTGCAAATCTATTTTTACATGTTAAACTTCAAGTGAAAATCGGAAAAAATTGTAAATACTTTCCAGTCGTAAATTTAATTTGTTGTCTTTGCCAGCACTGAATTTATCGATTGCTTGTCAAATGATGGTTTTAAAAAATTGCTTTTATTTTTGTTTTCAAACATTAAATAAAAAATTAGCAAAGAAATTATTATTTTTCGATTATTTTCAGGTTTTCATAACAGTAACAAAATTCAAATTCATATGATATGGTTGTTCTTATTTTCAATGAAACCCACCAAAAATATAAACCTCCTGATAATCTAAGGAAATAGTCACGGTCGTATATCTACACACATTCAATACGTCTGCAGATAAAAAACGCTTGCTTTTAGCTACACATGCATACACACACACATATACACACAAACATACATTCAGACACACACGCACATATTATTATTATTACTACTACTATTATTAGTGTGTTTGCAAGCGTTCTTTTAAAAAATTTCAGAGGTGCTAACTATTATAGAAGTACATTGCGTAGCTCTTTATTACAGCAACGCAATGAGTAAGCTTCGACAAAAAGACGGTGTTTTAACCTTCTACAAAATAATAACAGACAAAGCAAGATTACGAAGATCCCTAGACAAACCATTCAAAACAGCAGGACCCATTACGAAAAAATTTCAACGACCAATAGCTAAGTTAGTGTCAGGTACAAACAGTAAACCTGACTGTCAGAGAGGAACGTTTGACTCAGCAGTGGCATTGTTTTAGGAGTGAGTCTGTCAGATAAATATTTAGGGGCAACTCTCGTAATAAATTTAAATGCATAAACCAGTCAAATAAACTTGACGCAGATGCATCATTAGCTCTCTCAATGTGAACATTGAAGAGTCAGCGTTAATCAAAGTATTGCCAAGAGTACTATATATAGTATATGTTCCGATACAGACGACAATTCACTAAAAAACAATGGCGAGGCAAGTTTAGAACCAGGTCTATAAATACCAAAATAATTTTTTATGCTTTTGAGTAAATTCTACTACTTTAAATTAAAAAATGGAGAAAAATGGAAAATCTAATTTTCTAGCCCTGAATCTACTATTATAAAAAACAAATTAGACCCCCATAAGGAGGATTATGAATGTGCAAAACATAAAAAAATTGAAACCTGAAGACATGGTCAAATGAAGAGATGGATCATCAGAAAAACCATGCCACGTTTCTGTCAAAAGAAAAATATCTAAACAGCAGTTCCTAAATGTCATTCAGACTAGATAGGATTGACCTGACGTTGAGTAAAACAAAGTTTAACTAAATTTTAAAAGAGTCTATGGAAGTTTTACGATCTTCCATCGACCGGCCACTCCCCTGACCCGGTACAAAAAGTGCTGATTGCCAGCTTCCTTAAACTTAGCATCAGCAATAAGACCGCGTAGCTCAGTGCTCTGATTGCAAGTTAAATCATGACTAAGTCTGATCTTGCTATGATTTCCGTTAAATGATTTAAATTCAAAATTGTAAACATAACTTTCATTTTAACAACTAAACTGAAAAATTTAACAATGACAGGACGCGGAGTATCAGCTCTAGCGACTCTACGACCCTGTCCGTAAATTTTTAAGATATTATTAGCTTTTATAGAATCACCGGTCAGCTTATTAACAACCGACAAAACGGTGTTCTTATCCTTGCCATCAGTCTCAGCAAGATGAAAAATAGCAATATTGTTTTCTTGATCCTTGTTGTCATTAGCGACATCAAGGAATCGCTGAACATATTTGAGGTCATTGCTAACGGAGTCAATACCCCTTTTTGACAATGCCCGACCATGACTTTTTAACTTTTGTCATAAAATCAGCAAGTTCAAATTGACTGTGCGATTCAGATCATGGATATCATTCCCTGAGAGCAATTGTGACATCCGACAATTTTTTTGATGTCAGAACGAATTTCATCACTGATATCATTTTTAGCAATAACAGGTTGGATGAGACAACGAAATCCATCCAAAAGTTTAACGCAGTCTTCACAAAAGCATTTCAGGTTTTTAAAATTTCCCGGCAAGTTGGCATTAAAATTAATGTTGCATAACCAATATTCAACATTAGAGAAAGCAGATTTTAAAGCTCTGCCTTTTTTTGTTTTAACCTTGTCGTCAGCCATAGTTAGCTAAAACGAGGAATAATCCCATAGGAGCGACCGAAATGAAGTAACTTCACTGTTCACTGTTTTAGCAAAACTGTAAAACTTGCAACAAACCTCTAGTACCTCTAGTTGTAATTAAGATAACGAAACTAAGAATTTTAAAACATCAAATTCTAGACAACAAAACGATGCAAAAATATATAATTTGCAACGAAAACAATTATTAACACGGAAAAATACGAAATAAGCGTGAGCCAAAAACAACGTGCTACGTCGTACGTCAATAACAAAAACCATATACATTATACATACACATTATATATATATAATATTTATGATATATACAATATATATTATATATAAAATATATGTTATATATTATTGTTGTTGGTATTTATATAGCGCCAATTATAATTTAGAATTCTCATTCTAAATTCTCATTGCTAAAACACCTCAATATCTTGAGATGGTTATCAAACAAGTATATGTTTTAAGTCGTTTATATATATCATTATATATAAGTCGTTTTTAGTCGACCATATATAATATTATATATATATATAATATATATATATGCTAGTAAAAGACCATAATTAATGCAGAAATTCATGATAGTTTCTTTATTACGTTTCTCAATATTTCTAACCAAATTCTTCTCTCCATTATTTATTTTATTAAAGTTAGAATAATATACAGTTTTCAAAATTCATTCTCTAGTACATAGGACCTATTTCGATTTTTCAATCATCTTCAGCACTTGTTGCAGTTTATATAAAGAATATGTATAACCCAGCACTTTAATAAATAGAAATTAAAATTGTTGTGAAATAGAATAAAAAAAACTATTCAACGCTAGAAACTCGGAAGATTTCATAAATAACTGCATTAATTATAGTCTTTTACCAGTATATATATATATATATATATATATATATATATATAATAGGAATAATAGATGATATAAACATACAAACAGGCATAAAATTGCACGCACACGCACGCACACACGTACCTGCACATTTTGTTATGTATGATGGAGAATGATGAATAAACACATTCCACAAATAGCTGTTACAAAAACTGTAACGAGAACAAAATTGTAAATTTTTTGAAACGAGCAAACTTTTGTGTGTATGCATAATTTGCTGCTGATGTGTGCATTTCGACGACAATTGGAGTGTACGTTGATGGTAATGAATTTTTTTTCCCTGCATTCCATTCGCGAAAATTTTTTCCATGATGAATAACTTTGCACGTCGTCTACGTAAACTAATCAATTATTAATTCCGCTCGTGCGTGTTCAACGACATTCTTCCATTTTCACACACATGCTACAAAATTATTTTGTCAGCTTTTTGTTTTCCCTCTCGGTGCAGTTACATATTTGGAAGATGTTTCTTTCCAACATATCAAAATTAACACTTATATAAATTGTAATTTTTCAACTTATTATTTCTAGTTATAAATAAATACTTTTAACTTGTAAACAAATTAAAGTAAAAAGTTAATTCAAAGTTGCTTGGTTATGGTAAAGCATATTTTATTATAAACTGACATAATAAAAAAAAAAATTGCGGTTTATCGCTTGTCAGTAGATGTTAATAGAAAATTTCCAAACACGACATGTAAGAAATGAACGATTACGGAGTCATGGAAAGATAAAAACTAAATGATTAAACGATGACAAATGACAAAATGATTAGAAAATCATGACGTAACATTAACAACTGACAAATAGGGGAAAAACGTTTGAAAAATTAACAAAATGATGAAATGGTGTTAGTTTAACATTTTACATCAACAGCGGAACGAAAAAAAACGACAACATTTTTAAAGAGATCATAAAATTGTCCTTTAATCAAAATCGTTGAAATTATTTTGAACACCACTCATTTGTTTGCAAAACTTTTAGAAAAGTTGAATGAACAATTATAATTCACCCAATCAGCAGCTGATTATTATTTTTTCTCCAGCGACAAGACAGCATCAACACTTATCAACATACATACAAAGCCACACTTTTTAATTTCTCTCAACAAATATATTAGCGCGAAAAATAATCTATCAATTTAAAAAAACTCTAATCTGCAAAAATGAATTTTTTAATCATTTCATGTTACACCAGGAAAAATTGATAGTGGAAAAAGTCAACCTAGCAATTAATCTTTTAAGAGTTGTTGGCTTCCATTACGTGCATGCAAAGATAATGTTAACAGCAACAAAAAAATCAAATGTTCCTATGGACTTGAGTATAAAAAAGAACTCTTCAAATTGGAGACTGTATTGGAGTCAATATATCCAAAATGTTATAAATACGTTTTACGATAATTTCAACCAACTAGATTAAAATAATTAAAGACTTGTTAAACTAATTGAAGAATGTAACAAAAATATTTCGACATTAAAATTTCTGCAGATTTCATCAACTACAATCTCATATTTTTATTCATTTTATAGGCATCTTTGTTTATTTTTATTTACTTATTTAATCACATTTATGCAATTGCAAACCGATGTGCCACATTTATCTGGAATAAACAGGCGATTGAAAAATAGAAAAAAGAAGAAAGCCCGTCGTAAAAAACGAGGTAGAGAAAGAAGGCGGCATGGCAAGAATTGTGCACTAAAGCTTGTGAAATCGTATGTTATAAAGTGTGCAATAAAGAACATCTGCCATGTAACCTCCACTCCACTCCACACAACACACGATGACCAATACTGCTAATGAAACATGCTGACCACTGCCGCGTTAACGGTGCTTGTGATCACCGCCCTGTGGGCTACTTATGATGTAATGATGACATGATGAACAGATGACAAGCAGTGAATTGAGTAGCGGACTTGAAAAAATTACTAGATGATGATAATTTGTAAGTAATTTGAATTACTCGGTGATGAAGATGATGAAATGATATGACAAAGGGAAGATTACAATGATAATGATAACAATGATTATTTCTAAACGCTGATGACATAATGATAATATGATGATAACATATTGATAATATAATGGTAACAAATTGATAATATCTCGGTGATATATTAGCGACAGTAACAACAGCAAGAGAATCCTCGTATAATTCTGGAAATATGAATCATGTGTTTTCTTTGTTGGACCATATTAATAGAAAGTAAAGAGAGGTTATACAGAAAAAAGGACAATGGTATGTGGACATTGAAACTGCCTAAGACGACTAACATTGAAATACGATTCTTTCTAAATTACTGAGAAATGATTCTGTGCGATTTATAACGCGCACAAAACTGTGAAAAACCACAGAAAAAAAACCTATAATAATGGGTGCGAACAGCAGCTTGATGATGACGAAATGAGTCAATGAAAAAGTTGCAACAGTTTCGAAGGAGTTAGGAGGAAGTAAAAAGAGTGCTTCGTAATAAAAAGTCGTTAATTCATAATTGAAAGGCTCTTTGAAGGGTGTAAACAGATGTATTGACCTGCTAACGATGGGCTTGTGTTGGCTGCTATTTGTTGTGTAGTTGGCTGTGTGTGGTGGACTGTTGTGTGGCTGCTACTGTGTGGTTAGCTGCTGTCTGGCTACTGCTGCTGTGTGTGTCGGAGTATGCTTCTGTTGAGGTTTGTCGGCTGGCCGTCGATGATGATGCCATTAATTAATTTATTCAAATTTTGTTTAGGATTTGCTGACTGGTGAATTTTTCAAGAGCAAATAAAATATTTTAAAAATGGCCCTTGATACAACTGTTCGTAATTTAAAAATTAAAATGGCTAACTCGGATGTCTCAAGTTAAATTTCATTATTTCAATTTTTTTGTTTAAATATTATTTGTCCCTCCAATAAAATGAAATGGTTAAAAAACAAAAAAGTGTGAAGTTTTGAATTTTGTAAATAAAAAAATATTAACTAAATATTGAACATAAAAATGATGCTGATAAATTCAAGAACAAAAGCATTTTTATTTTTTAAAATTTGACAAGAATTCACGAAGAAAAAATTTGACAAGAAAGCATCAACAAAAATGAAAAATATCACATCACATCGTTTGAAAAAAATTTTGTCATTAGCAAGTAACAAGTCTAAAAATATTTTTTGAAAACTTTCGTATAATTAAATAAAACAACAAAGCAAATAAAAAACATGTTATTCGTTAGTGAAAAACGCTCGCAAACTTAGAGAACGTGTCACTAATTGCAAAAAAAAAATAATTCTTCAAATATAAGTGTAAAAAGTAAAACAAAGAGATTCGGAAATGTTGTAGAAAAAAATTTGACTGAAACAAGTTGAAACATTAAAGTAAAAACAAATTATCAGATAGATTTTGAAATTAAATGTAATGTACGCCAAGTTGCGAAGAAAAGTTATTTGCGAAGATGAGTTATAGAGGCGATAGTGTAGCGGTAAAGGGCCTGGCTCTGCTATTGTAGTGACCGCATTCGATTGCAAGGATATCCCCATTTATCACATGCAATGTGTGTGTTGCGTTGTTTCACTTGCACTGTGTGTGTTTGTCAGTAGCGGATCCATAGGGAGGCAATAGGGGCAATCGCCCCTTACTGAAAAAAGAAGAAAAAAAAAACTTGAATAAGAAACAAATTGGCGGGTCGATGGGGAGAAGCGATGTGGGCAATTGCTCCCTTACAAAAGTTGGCAAGAATTTTTTTAGAATTTGTAGTTTATTTTTGTCAACTCTTTATTAATGTTTATAAAAAAGCATGCAATGTCATCAAAAATCTGAATGATGTATATGAGTCTAGATTTAATACTTTATTAAGAAACATAATTATCCCATCCTTATTTATTTTTTTAACCCCATCAGTATTTTCATACTTATAAATAGTATGAACTATAGCTGCACCTACAAACATAATTCATTCTCAGCTAACTTAAACCAACAGTAAACTCATTAAAGGTTAAACTATCATAATTTCCTGTCTATTCCTATTAATTATTATAGCCAATCTTATAGGAATAATTTCATACTCATTTAGAATCTCAACCCATCTGCTATTCTCTTTAACTCTAGGCCTACCACTATGGCTA